TAAGAAATCCATATTGATTTGCACTTCTCTGAAAAATACTGAAGCCTCCAGATTTAGCCTGGGTATTGATTTTCTCTTCCAGGGGAAAGACATCGGGATGAAGGAAAGATATTACACGTGGCAGTAAACACCTTCAATCACCGGCCACCCGCTCTCCCTTCATAAACAAATGGCCCCGCTTCGCCCGGGGAGGCTGCAGACCGATCCGGCACTGCGACACGAGGGTGCTCAGGCAGTTCTACAGCAGCAGCTGCCCGGGGGCTGCAGAGCTGCCAGCCCCGGCTGACGGTGCCCCGCTGCTGCTCCCTCCCCTCTCCCCAGCCGGAGTTTGACGCTTTGCCCGGCTCAGCCGTGTGCCGTCGTGGAACAATTTGATGACGAGCGCTGCGGTCCCGGCTGTGTGCTGCCTGGTCGCTCGGTTCTCTCCGTGTGCGATAATTTTGCTGCCCTTTACTCTGCAGCACTCCTGCTCCACGTGCCCCGGCCTGCCATAGCCAACAAGCAATGAGGTCCTCGTGCCCGCTCTGAGCCGGGGGAAGGAAGATTTCTGCTGATGCCCTGGGTGCAGGGAGCACCGCGGTCTGGTCCCTGCAGGAGCTCCTGAGGCTGAGAGAGACCCGGCACAGGCAGCGCCGCGCTTCGCAGCTCCCCTTGCTCCGGCTGCTGCGTTGGGATGGGGACGGCATCCCCCGGTGACAGCCACATCCCTCTTCTGCCCGTCAGCCCTCCCGCTGCAAGGACTCATTTCCAGAGAAGGAGGGTGGTGCGGCAGGGCACAGCCGTGCCGCTCTGCTCCCCAGCCAGGTCCCCGTCCTGTCCCCTTTGCTCTGAACACCCCCAGCACCTCCTTCCCCCTGTGCTCCGGGGTCTGAGAAGCCCTTTTCCTCCTCGCAGGGCGCTGGGGATGCCCAGGTGAGAGCTGGCCATCTGTCCCGCTCAGTGCTCGCAGCATGGCCTGGCCAGTGGCCACCTCTTGCCAGGCAGCTGGTGGGGACATCTCCTGCCATCGCCACCAACACCCCCTTCCTCATGCAGAGAAATGGCTTGATTGAAAGGGATGATTTACAGCCCCCATAGGTGAACAGTTATGTTCAGGAGCTCCTCACACGGGTGCTGTACAGGTAGCCCAACACCAAAGGCACCACCGGTGCAGCAGCCCTAGGGCTCTCCTCCCCGCTCGTCTAACCACTCCCGAGGTGCTTTACGCCGCCAGCTCCACAGCGAGCCAGCTGCGGGACCGAGACGAGTCGCAGAGGTTGGAAACAAAGGGCAAAGGCACTAGAAGAAGCAGTGGCTGGAGTTATGCTGCCTGAGAAACAAACAGCTTCAGGTCATAAATTTAGCCTCAAGTTAGAGCAGAGTTTGCTGTCTGACTCGTGGCACCCAGCACGGCACAGGGGAAGGTGACAGCCAGCACACATCCTGGGGCACCGCCTGCTTCTTTTCAATTACTCAGGGGATAACTTGGTTAACTTCAGAAGATCAATCCTCTCTCTGAAACAAAGCAAAATCTTTTCCCAACCGATCTCCTGTCTCACTAGCCCACAAGAAAAACACTGGCACGACAAATTGCCCCACATGTGGCTTTAACGATACCCGAAGGCACCGAGGGTCCTGCGTGTACACAGGATGCGGCACAGCAGCATCCCAGCGCCTGACAAATCAGTTGCTCCGATTTGCTGCCAGAAAGGCAATGAATATATAATGACGGCAGTATTGGTAATGATAACAACGCTTTCAGTTCTATTATCAACACTTGCTACGCCACAGGAGTTCATTTGTCTGAAGCTGGTCAGGCACCTTCCTGGCAACTCCGGCACCCTGATGTCAGGAGCCAGCCCTGCCCGAGGGATGGGGACAGCCGCCCGTCCTGCTGAGGAGGGCTCAGATGCGCCGGGCACCATGCTGCTCCAGGGCAAAGCTCACCACCGAGAAAGGGGCCTCCTGCACGGCTGAGCTTTGCCGTTGTGGAGTTTGGTTTTAATTAAGAAATGTACCCTGTTCACACGCTTTGCTTTGCCCGATAGAGACAAACAGGGTTCCTTACCTGCAGCAGTCAGTGACTCAGCCGGAGCCTGCTTTCTGGAGATGTGATTCTGAAAAAAAAATACATCTTTCCCTTAAGCCACAAGCGGGCATGTGTATAGAATCTAGAGGTTGGTGATGCCTCTGCAGCCGGGCAGGGCCATTACACCGCCAAGGCAACCGGGCTCTGGGCAGGGGCTGCTCAGCGCGGTGTTGGAGCAGCCGGATCAAGGCTCCCGCCTGCAGCACACAACCGCTCCTGGGGCCGGCACGGCTGCGGCTAACACCACCGGCACGGGACAGTAAGTGAAGGTCTTGGTGTGGCTTTCATGATCAGAGTTCCTAACGAGCTGCTTAAAAGCGCTGCTCCGCGTGCACCGATCCCACACTCAGCCCATCGGAGTTTCCCCTCCGAGCATCCCTCCTTCCCCTTGCCTGGCTGGGAACCGTCAGTCCCAGGACAGGTTCCCCCCGCTCCCCTCCAGCAGAGCTGCAGGGCTGGGGGGCTCTGGCTGAGCACACAGACCTCCCTAGCAGGATTGCCGGATTAATTATCGGTAGGGATTTAATTTCAGATCTTTGCCAAGGACAGTCAGAGCTCTGGGCTGCGTTAATAACATTAATAAAGCAAACCCTGCATTTGCTCAGATGCTGTTTTTGCAGGGCAAGCCCCCAGACCCCAGAGGCTGCGGGAGGGAGCTGGGCAGAAGCCCTGGCCAGACTGGTGGCCGCACACCAGGTAAGTTAAAATGCAGCTTATTCCATATTTTACACTGCCAGTCCTTTCACTACTTTGTTTTTAAATATTTCCCTAAGATCGGAGTGCTACACTTCCTCCACTATTTTTAATACATGCAACCAGCAACTATGGCAATTAAGAGGCCTAATTAGCATCTGAATCCGTCTTCTCACACAAACCCCCTTTGCAATAGTAGCAAATAAACAGTAAGAGAGATGAAGAACCTGCACAAAGTCTGCAGCCCCGTGCAGCCGGGACCTGCTGAGCGGCAGACGGCCCTTGCTGGGGCTGTTTGAGGGGCTCCGGAAGGGATTTTGGTCCAGCACACTTCCCGTGCAGGGTTTCCCACAGCGACCTGCCCGTTATTCCTGGGAAGCATTAGGACATAGAATCACAGAATCATTTAGGTTGGAAAAGACCTTCAAGATCATCGAGTTCAACCATTAACCATGCCCCATGACTGGCCACGCTCTGGCTTTGGGAGGGAGACCCAGGGCAAGGCTGCTCAAAGAAACGCACACCAGGCACCAGATGTTTCCCTTCTGCAGAGAGCATGAGTAAATGAGAGCTCTGCTGGCCCCAGATTACCTGCGGCTGCCTAATGAGCCCCCCCCAGGGCCTCCGTGGGAATCCATCACTTTTGTCAGAAGGTTAAATAAGATTTCAATTAAGTGACACATCAAATCGTAAGACCAGCTGCTTCGAAACCGCCTCCGTTTAGACGAGCTCTGCTCTGGTGAGAGAAGGCAGCTCAGCCTTTAAAGCCAAACCTCCGGCTGCACGCATTCACCTTGGCGTTTAAAGACCGACCTCCTCCCTGCCAGCCCGCCGTCCCCTGGCCGTCACACCGCGCCGGCAGCCGTCACCCCCCTGCCAAGCAGCTGGGAGGGGACGGCCGCGATGACACCCAGCAGGAAAACCTGCCGAGAGAGCGCGGCCGGGAGAGATGCTCCCCAAGGAGGTCTTGGAGTTGGCTCCGAACTCGGCATTTCCCTGGGAGACAGGGTCTCGCTGTGACCGCCCTGGGATGCCCGGCTGCCCCTGGGGAGGGGACGTCACCCCACCACAGCACCTTTTGGGGAAAATGGCTTTCTGAGCCGCTCTCCGGCAGCACCTGCCCTGGCTCAGGGGGGACTGCACATGCCCACACGCCTCACCCCCAACCCACAGCACCCCGTGCATCCCGCGCCCCATGCACCGCGGCACCCCGTGCACCCCGCTGCCCGGCCGAGCCCCCCCATGCAAACCAGGGCAGCACCGCAAAGGGCAGGAGAGCGGAGCAGGGGCTGGGGGTGCTTCCCCAACCCCCTGCAGCCAGGGAACCCCGACCCCGGGCACTCCACGCAGCCGTGGGAGAGGTCGAGGCTGCCGTGAAACACCCGTAAGACAGAGCGCACCGTTTTCCAGCTGCCCGCAGCAGGGTCAGCGCAACCTATTCAGCCAAGTAACTTGCTCGCCAAACTGGACAATTTTATTGTTATTTTTCTCATCGATCTCCCAGCCATTATAGAATCATACACCATCCGCACACAGCCCGCGGCCAGCAGCCCAGCCATCAACCCAGCTTCTCCTTCAGTACCACCAGGTCAAGCGTTGCCTCCTTGTTGTGCCAGACAGTAACTTGTGACTGCGTGTGTATTAATTTTAGGGAATTAATTCATTTTCTTGCAACATTAGAGGTTAATTAAATGCTGGCTAATTGCTACCAGTCATTGGAGGAATTCTGCTCCTGAGTCCTTTCATGGCCTGAATGCACCAAAGGAAGAAAAAAGGAAAGAAAGAAGGAAAGAAAGAAGCCCTTTCAAGACCACAGAAAATTGCAAAAGGATGTTTCTTCCAACCTGACATGACAAAATTGAATTCCAAGCTATTTAATGCATGCACGAAACGCCATAGAGAAACCCAGCCCGAGCACTCCATCCATCACGACGGGGAAAGGGGTTTCGTAACACGAGCACTCGCTACGGCACCGACTCAGTGCTTCAAACTCCGGACTTCCAGGCAATTTCGCTTAAACGTAACTACCAGATTAAGGATTCTCACAGACAGGGCTATCGCCAGCATTTCCATGGGACAAACAGCTAAGGTAACACTGCGATTATGATCAACATTAACGATGGAGACCTCGGGAAGCCACTGTCCCGGGTGGTGATGGAAGCCCCGCTCAGTCCGCAGGGGCACCACGGCCAGGGTCACGGCGCAGCCCCCGTCCCCTCCCTGCCAGGGAGGGAGGGACGCGGGGGTCCCGGTCCCACCGTGGGCGCAGTGGCCTGGCCCGGCCAGTGGCATTTCGGGAGTGAAAAACCAGCCCCGCGGGTAGGGGCACGGGGAGCCATCTGGATTTGTCCTTAAAAACGGGATTTCACGGGTTACACCGTCACGAGGATGATGTCATGCAGCCTGACAAAACGCCCCTGCCCGCCTCAGACCGGCGTGGTTCGTCTGTTGGCCGGGTTGTTGTGCAAAGACTCCTTGAACTCTTTGGGGATGGAGTTATGGACCTGTAAAAAACCGTGGTCCCGCTCCGAGTTGAGCAGCGTCCCCATGGTGACCTTGGAGGGATCCCTGGAGAGGGTGAACATGGAGATGTCGGTGGAGGGGATGGTGCTGAACCCCTTGCTGACGGGTGACATGTCCCGGGACCGGGGCTCGGTGGAGCGGGAGCTGGACCGCCGGCGGAAGCGGTACCTGTAGGGGGGGAGGCGGGTGAAGGCCGACTTCTTCAGCAGCTCCGAGTGGGACTTGGCGCGGATCTGGCGGTGCTTCTCGATGTACATGTGCACAGCGATCACCCCCACCATCTCGGCGATGATGAAGGACAGGGCTCCGAAGTAGAAGGACCAGCCGTAGGAGTAGCTCTTCTTGGAGTCGCTCTGCCCCGGGTCCCCCGCGTTGGCCGAGATGTAGACTATGATCCCGATGATGTTGCTGAGACCTTCAGGGGAGGACAAGAGGGAGAGGTGCTTGCTTGAGCGGCAGGAGAGGGACGGGGGACAGCAGCACCCCGATCCCCTCCCAGCAGCGGAGGGGCTCAGGCTGGAGAAGCCTGGCCCTTCTCTTGCCCATGATGACCCATGGGGTGTTCAGCAGGCGGGCAGGGTGCTGGGGGCCATGGCTGCACCCCCGTGCTCCATGGGGCACCAGCCCCTTTGCCAGCACACCGGGGCCAAACCCCGTCACAGACCTCCGCTGCCATCCCCAGTATACACATATATTCACATACACCCAGTATACACGTATATTCACCTATATTGGAGGGGCAGGAGGAACAACCACTATTTTGCTTAGAAAAGGGACATTTCAAGAGCTGGTTTTGCTTTGCAGAGCTGCTCGCTGAGCAATGGACCGCAGGAGCCCAGACGGTGCTGGGCGCCAGGGCTGTGGCCGGAGCAGAGCTAACCCACGGGGCACGGAGGGGATCCCTCCGGCACGAGCCCTGGCTCGCCGTGGCCCTGGGAGTGCAGGGAAGCAGGAATGGCTCCATCTCTCTTCAGTTCTGTTGGAGCCCGGAGGCTTTATTTGGGATCCGGGCATTTTTTGCACTGCCGGCAGCGCCACGGGGCTGTGCCGCAGGGCTGGGGAGCAGCTGATGTATTCCTGGATTTACTTAATGAATCGATTATGTTCTTTCTGTTGTTTTCTCATCTGCATCAGCAGCTCCTGCCAGCCGAAGGAGGGAGAGTAATTTGTCTCTTTGTGGGGAGAAGAAAAACACAAAATAAAGCAGTTCCTTGAGACAAAGACATTGTCATACGATAATCAGTGGAAGCGTTGGGGAACAGTGCACAGAGAAATGAGTAATCCAGAAGGAACGGCCTCTCAAGAGAGAGTGATTTTCCTCGTAGGACTGCGGCAGCCCTTCTGCCTGCTGCCTGGTCCCAGCTGCTGCCAGCGCAGTGCCTGCCCTCGTCTGGTTCCACGACCTGCTGCTTGGCCGTGATGGAGGGCAGAGCCCCCCAAAACCTGCCCTGGGGCCGGGTGCTCCCCCAGTGGGACAGCTTTGATCCAGGAGCCCCTCCTGAGCTGCAGCCCCTGCATGGAGACTGCTTGGGGCAGAGCAGGGTGGATGCTTGAAGTGCTGTCTAGCACAGTGGCCACTTGTCAGAAACCTCTGCTGTTTTTTTCCCTGCCACGAGGAGTTTTCCACCAGGACGGGACAACTCATGAACTCCAGAATCCGACAGCCCAGAAGGACCCACAACCCATCTCCAGTCCCCCCATGTCCTCCCACACTTCTACACCAGAAAAGCCATCCCACTCTAGACCCTGCCGGGCAGCTCCTACCTGCAGAGACAAAGAAGATGCCGGCGCTGAGGATGACGTTGTGTTTGCTCTTGTAGAACTCGCTGGCCGCCACGCACAGGCCTCCGAAGAACAGCAGACCCACGCTGAGGATGGGGAAGATGCTGGATGCTCTCACTGCACCTGTGGGACAGGGAGCGAGGCAGGGTTGGTCCCCGGCATCGCTCCTGTGCGGAGGCTGCTGGCATCTCCCACGCCAATGCCAGCGCCCGGAAAGAATTGTTGCAACACCACGCTCAGTTGCTGCCACGAGGGATGGGGGAGACCCAGCACTGGTCCCCACTATGCATCCTCTGCTTGTCCCCGAGCTGCTCTGCTCCGAGCTTGCTCTGGAGCCCAGCGTCAGCCCTGCAAACCCTGCAATTCAGGCCTCCCATCACAAAAACAGCTTAAACCCTGAATTTCTTTTTTTTTTTTGCTTCCTAGGCTATTTCTTCCAGTCTTGCCACACAGTCAGCACTAGCAATTTACCTTCCCATTCCCAAACGCACCACCCACGGGTTTTGGCTGTGGACGTGACTCTGGAATCTGGGACTGCCGAACCCCCCAGCTCTCACCATGCTGGCAAGGAACAGTATTGCCAACCACAGGGGTCAGGAACCTGTCCTTTGGGTCCCAAAACTATTGCGGCTGCTTTGAAAGTAAAGAATTTACAAACTAACGCACCCCAAGTTCAACAAAAAGTCATTTTCTGATATAAGGGAGGAATGTTATCGAAAGGAACAAAAAGCCCAAGACCCCGAGCCCACCACGTGTGATGCCGTGACCCCGGCACTGGGCTAATCCCAAGGCGATTAGCTCCGGCAGTGCCTGTCTCTGCATGCTCAGGAGTCATTGACCAAATGCTACACAAAGAAGGGTCTTTTCTATGTGGCCTATCAGAAGTTCAGCTTCCAAAATGACAGTAGAGAGTAATTAGTGCAGCAAATGACTACCTGCTGCACCGAAAATACACTGTGCCTTGGTTTGGGCTCTCATTCCTCTATTAGGGCCTTTATTAAAAGCACAGAAATACAGAGAAGCCCCATTAAAATGCCATTCTGGGGGCTTTAAAATAGACTTTTTATTTTAAATGTGGGAGGGGGTGGGAGAACTTAAACGCTAATCTACTAAAATTGCAAACCAATTCCATTAAACGTGTTCCCCTCTTAGACGGGTGAGCAGAGCTGATGGCTCCCTGCAGAGTTAGAAAATGGGGAGCTCAGAGCAACATCTGGATGAGCAGCAGCTGCATCAGGCAGGAGCCGCTGCTGGCCCGGGGGTCGGGGCTGAGCACAGGGCGATGGGTGCTGGGGGTCACTTTGTCCTCGGGGATTCTTCCCAGCCCCAGCGGCTCAGAGAGCGCCCAGAGACGCCAACGCCTCCCAGGCTGCCATGGGCTCCTCCTGCCTTATGTTCTTGTTTGGAAATTTAGGTTCAAATGAACCTTTTGCCGTGCAGACTTCGCAGTCTGTCACACACACGTGTGCTTGCTGACATGCCGGGCGGTGCACGCCCGTGCTGCTTCGCATCTCATGGCGCGCGTCGTTTGCATCCAGCCTCTGTCAACCCGCACCGCGGTGCCCCAGCGCTCGCTCGTGCACGTGTCTGCCCGGCGCTCGGGGGACGGTGCCTCTTCTCTGCAGGGTCAGCCTCGTCCCAGCGGCAGGTCCCCCCACGTAAAAACCCGCGGGTTTTGCCCCGAGGCTCTGCTGGCCCACCAAGACAGGAGGACTCCGTTCTCCCAGGAGAGCCGCCAGCTCTATTTTCACTCTGTCTCCCTGCACCCGGCTGCTGCCGGCAGGGCGCACGGCAGACGCTCGTCGTGCTCTCCCGGCGAGCGCCAGCAAATCCAGCCTGGCCGCAGAGACTCGGGGAACAGGGAGACCGGCACGAACACGGCACCCCCGCGGTGCTGCACCAAGGACCTGCGGGGTCCCGGTCCCCGGCAGCCCTTCCACCCCGACAAGCTCAGGCTGCGCAGCAGCTGCTGGGACCGGCCGCGGGGACAGCGAGTGCCAGACAAATGTGCCATTAACGCTGCTGCTGCGGTGTGACGTGGCCACGCTCAGGTAACCCGGAGGGTCACTGCTGCTGTGCAGGGAGCCTGGGGGGCTGCGACCCATCGGCCTCCTGCCAGTGGGGGGGAAGGACCTGCTGGGTGAAGCTCTGGGGGATGGGGAGGGGGGTGCCAGCGCAGCGTGGGGCGAGGGAGTCCCCAGGGAGCGCCCGTGGCTCCGTCACGCTACAGGAAAGCAGACTCACGGAGGAGATACTCGGCCGTGTCTTGCTCGTAATCCGCATCCTCGGGGAAGTGGTCGATTTTCTTGCACACTCCTCGGAAGGTTCCTGGGAAGACACAAGCCAAGAAACCCTCAAACCCCTCTGCGCTGGCAGGAGCGCTGCTGGATGTGCTGCATGGGGCCGGCACGGCAGCAGCCCAGGAGCCGCTCGGGCACCGCTCGGCATGGGGCTGTCAGCGACCCCAAACGCTGCCCTCGGTCCCCAGGGACAGTTTGGTCCCTGGCTGCTCCTGCACCCTCCGAGCGCTGCCAGTCCCCTCCGGTGGGGCTGCACGTTTATGTCTCAAACTAAGTCCTGTCATTCACATCGCTGCTGAGCTGGGAGGAGATGCCCAAGCTGCTCTGCTCCCCCCGCAGCCCCATGGCAGCCGTGAGCAGAGACTCTCCGCAGTGCAGCCCCCGCTCCCCTCTCCGGCTGCGCGGTGCTGTGCGGTGCTGCCAGGAGCTCAGCGGTGCTCAGCATGGCACTGCCTCTGCTGAGCTTTCCCTCCCTCCGTGGGTGCACCCGTGGACACGGCAAGGCTCGCCTGGCCCCTGTTTTCCCCAGTGAATGGGAGGCGAAGCAGGGCAGGCACTTGCTGGCTCTCAGCACCCACCCACCCAGGCAAAACCCTCATCGGTTTTGACAGGGAATCGATGCAGCTGTAAATAAACCTCCCGGCCTGCAGGTCCGAGCAACACCTTATTCAGATGCCCTGGGGAAAGTGCTCCACGGCTGCAGCCCAGGGCTCCTTCTGGGATGTCGGGTTCATCTGCTTTCACATCAAATTCCTGCTGGAGATGACAACAGCACCAGGGTCAGTGTGGCGGCTTGAGCAGAGCCCCCACCCTGGGACTCTGCAGCACCAAGAGACCTGCCCAGTCCTCCCAGTTTGGCTGCTCTGCCCCAGCCCCTCGGCTGTACGAAAGAGCAGCTTTGATTTACTGCTGACCTACAAATGCAGGGCACAGGCTGCCGCACAGACGAGGAGCCTCAGCACATTTGCTAAAGTAACATCTGGGCTGCAGCTTAACTTCCAAGACGTGATTTTTTTGGAGGCACAGATGAGTTCATTTAAATGACTACAAAAAGTCTGCAGGCTGCTTACCCTTTCCTGCCACTTCTCAGACCCGCTTCGTGCCGGGGACACCGGCAGCTGGGGCAGAGGCCAGAGGAGGCAGAGTCACCAAAACGACCCGTCCATACCCCATTTCCAGCCTGCTTTCACATGTCCCCACAGCACACACGCGTGCGCACCCACGCACGACCATGGATAAGCACCCAGTGCCGCAGGCGGGCATCGCAGCTGAGCTGGGCATGGGCAGGACTGCCACCCGCCCCACGGCACGGTCCCACCAGGAGACCCCGGCCGCTCTGCGCGTGCCACCTTTCCCCTCCTGCTCGTGGGTCCCCACGGCACAACTCAGGAGTGGGGGCGAGAGCAGCCCCGCTGCGGTGGGCACCGGCAACGCTGCCTGGAAGACCTGGGGAAAAAGGCAGATGCTCTGGCATCTGCTGGCCTCCCACTTAGCATTTGGGAAAAAAAAAAGGCTCTTTTTCTGTGGCTTTTTTTTTTTCCCTCCTGCCTCTGAAGCAAAACAAACGCATTTTGCCTTTAAACGGCTGCCTGTTTGCTTTGGCTTTCTCCTCGCTGCGCTTTCGGGCTCATCTCTCTCCTGTGCTGAAGCCGTGCAATTGTGCCATGAGAGAAAAAAGCCAAGGACGAGTCAGGCTCAGACACGTGATGTACTGGGGACTCAGTTAAATGCTGCAAGATGCGGATGCGGGGCAAGAACGGGGCAGCGCAGCCGTGTCCACGGCGGGGGAGAGCCTTATGGTTCAGACGTGTTTATGGGACAGCTGGGGGCAGGGGCTGGCTGTGAACGGGTTCTTGCCTCTTCCGCTCAACCATCCTCCAGCCCCAGCAGCCTGGTCCACGTGCCACTGATGGACAGGCACAGAGAAATTAAAGGCATTAAAAAATAATAAAAATATCTTGGCTATGCCCAGTTGCGCTTATGGATTAGTTGTGATGGATGCAGCCCGTCACCTCCTGCGGACGCTGTGAGCTTGCTCCTTGTGGCAGCCCGCCAAGACACCAAGAACCGCACTCGATATCTGCTGGGGGATGGCTCAGAGCTCGGGCTGTGCCTCCGTGCTGGACAGGAACACGGCTCCTCAGGGCCCCGGGCAGCAGCAGCCGCTTCTGTCTGCAGGATTCACAGAGCCGTCTTCTCCAAAGCAAGCAGAAAACACTAATGCAAGAGTATGCACGATGCTTCCTCTGCGGTGCCAACAAACGCTGCCCTTGATGCTATAAATGGGGAAACTGAGGCACAGAACGTGACTTCTCTGGAGTGGCAAGGGGCAGGGCTGCAGCACATGGTCACATTGTGCTGGCTCTGTCCCCTCACCCATGGGACCACAAAGGACATGCCACCAGGGGACAGGGCTCCAGGCAAGAGAAGCCAACCAGCACGGTGTCCTGCACGGTTGCACACCGTCAGCCTGCACTCTGGCTACGGGCTTGGGGGAGCTGAGCATCGTGACAGGCATCAATTAAAGCCTGGAAATGAAGCTCTGGAGGTGGCAAGCTGTCATCCAAGCAGGAGACACGGCATCCAAGGAAGAACCGCCTGCTCCCGTGCTTTGGGAACTGCAGGCGAAGGGGAGCTGAAAACTGGCACCACGAAGGGGGCTGGGGAGGCACTGGGCATGGCGAGGACGGCAGCTGCATGGCACAGCGCCCATCCTCCTCCTCTCAGCTTTCAGGTTTCCACCCACCTTCTCCAACCTTCTCCCCACACCCCAGAGCCACCCCCCACTTTTGTCCCTTTCCTCTCCAGCCATCGGGGACGTGCTGCCCGAGTGGGACCGTGCCAACCTGCAGCACCCCAAAACACCCCCACGGACCCAGAAGGACACCCAGAGCCGGCACGTGCCTGGATGTGCCTGGTCCCCCCCGGACACGTCTCCAGTCTCACCCAGTGCGGGGCTGTCACTCCCAGGACAGCACCGAGGTTTCTGTTTCCAGCTGGTCTCTAAACACCTCAGTCCTCGCTCTGCCTCGCAGCCCCGAAGCCCCGACCCGCTCGGGTGGGACAGACCTGCCCTCTCCGACTTTTAACGGCTGCAAAGCTGCTATCAGCAAGGGACACCCACGCAGCATGCAGGACTTCGTGAGAGCTTCTCCAGAGGCACTGTGACAGCGCAGGAACATCTCCCTCTGCAGCAACCTCCCGGGTAGGGTCGCGGGGCCGGTGTTCATCATCTGATTAGCGGGAGGAAACTTTCCCTTGGTGCAATGTGGGAAAGGAGTTTAGAGAGTGAGTCAGCCCATCAGCACAGCGTGCAAGTGAGAATACTAATTTTCTTGGGCTCGATCTCTTTCAAGTTCTCCGAGGCTCCTTGTGCCACTGAGCCCCCACTGAAACGCAGGGCCGGCACCCCCCTACCCTGAGCAGCAGCTGGACGAGCCAGGACCCCCGGGGGCCTTGCTTCTGGTATATACGATGTCTAAGGTAAATCTGTGACCGTGAGGGACGAGGGCAAACCCTGGAGCAGGAGGCACCTGCAAGCGCAGGGGATGCCCTGTTCGGATGCAAACACCCCCTGCCCCACTGCCTGCGGGCTGGCAGGGCTGGGGTGCGACACTCATCCATCCGTCCGTCCGTCCATCCATCCACCCATCCATCCACCCATCCCTCCCTCCTGCCGCAGCCGCCGGGACCGCACACAGCTGCGCTGCATCTGCTCTGCCCCACAGGGATCCGTAACCTCCCTCCTTCCCTCAGCCCTGCCTGTCCCACCCAAACACCTCCTTTGCGACAGAAATGGGACGCAAAAAAATAAAAAAAATAAAAATGAAGTGACTTTCTCAGGGCAGGGGCAGAGCCTCTGCTCAGCGTTGCTGCTGCAGGACCCACCACCAATTCCCTCCCGCTGCCCATGGCAGAGGGAAATGCCGAGCAGCCACGGCCGAGCAGCGGGAGCGGGAAAGCACGGCGGCATCGCTAATAGTTGCGGATTGCTCCGACGGGCGCAGGGCACCAGGTCCCTGCAGGCAGCGGGGCTCCAGCCGCCCAGTGCCAGGGGACGAGGACAACCCGTGCGTGCCCCGGTGGGGCTGGGGGCTGCACGATTCGAGGCGGCAGGGCCGGGGCTTGCCACGCTCCTCGCAGGTGGTTTAGCAAAAATCCGTCCCCGCCAAGGCAAAGGGAGCCCCAGCCCGGCGGGGGACAGGCAGGGCAGCACCACCGGCCCCCCAGGCGGGGAGGGGGCAGCCCCGCCGCCTGCCCGCGCTGCCCCGGCTCCACCGCATCTATTTCACGCTCTGACATTTATTTTGGCTCCTTTACTCCCTCTGTTCATTAACCGATGCTCGTCACCATGGCAACCGCTGAGTCACCTGACACACAACTTCCCAGCCTCCAAACAAATACCACAACAAGGCTTAAATCCCCAAAAGCCTGCCCTGACCGCCAAAACACTCCTTGGGGATGGAGCTCTGTCCTGGGGAGGGGTGGCTGGAAGGGGCTCCGGGGAAGGATGGGGCAGCCGGTCCTGGCCCTGGCGGGGGGCTCGTCCCCCCCAGCAGCCGGGGTGCTCCCACTTACACCCCGAGCCAGCGGCTCCCCGTCCCCCCGTGATGGCAGATGCAACTCCGAGCTTTCCTCTCCTGGCTTTATAGCTGGGCCCCAGTAAAGGCAGCGTCACAGCATCACAGGCAGAAAGGAAGCCGGTTTTGTCCGAGTCCTCAAACTCCGGAGCCTCCTTCCTCTGCCCACGTTTTCTTAGCAAGGACGCGAGGCAGAGGCGATGCCGGATCGCCTGCTCCCGGCTGTCTCTGAACCCCTGCCAGAACCGAGGCTGTGGCTGCAAGCTCAGGCACGAGATGCCCCCCGCTCCTGGGGCTCGAGCCCTGCCAGGCACCGGGGCCGGCCACACGCAGAAATCGGCTGGGGAGGACTGGCCAGCGCGGGACTCACCAGGACACTGTCCTGACTCGGGTACGGGCTCAGGCGCTTGCTCCAGGCACTCACAGCCTCAGGCCCTGCTAACGCCTT